CCCATGTTTCTCTCTCTCCTTTCCTCTCTCTCTCTCTACACACAATGAAAAAATTTCCTTGGGTGAGGATTAAAAATTTTTTTTACCCTGGCTGGTGTAGCTCAGTGGATTGAGCGTGGGCTATGAACCAAAGGGTCGCCAGTTCGATTCCTAGTCAGGGCACATACCTGGGTTGCAGGCCAGGTCCCCAGTGGGGGCCACATGAGAGGCAACCACACATTGATGTTTTTCTCTCTCTTTCTCCCTCCCTTCCCCTCTCTCTAAAAATAAATAAATAAAATCTTTTAAAAAAAACTTAAAATATAAAAAAGTATTACTGAGATCTCTAGCAAGCACCATACTGTCTTCTTCAAAATCTCAGTAAATTTGAAATTATTTATTAATTCTGGATTATAAAGTCAAAATGTGGTAAAACTCTATTTAGTGTGGCTTTTATCTTTGTCTCAAAGTCAAGGCCTCTTTTTATTCAGTACCTATAAATACAACCAAGTAACAACTCAACAACAAATACCTTCTTTTGCTATCGGTTATTTGTGCTGTGAGAAAGGACCTAGGGTGTACTTTGTGCCTGGGAGGCTGGAGAAGAGGTTGGAGGCTGCCACCGTGCCCCACTCCAAAGTCCATCAAGTTCCTCAAATAAAAAGTTAAGGAAATAACTGGGAGACACAAAGAATACTACTCATCCCAAGACTTTCTCCCTTTCTTTAAAGGGAAAAAATAAGAATAAAGATAGAAAGTAGGTTAGGGTATGTTTGTACAGGTGGGTTTAGAGCTCAAGTCCAAATATATCTGGCTCTAACATCTTCAAGAGCCCTCATTAAAGAAGGTATTTTAACTAGATGCTGCCATCTACTGGACAATTTATAAGGGTTTTGTGCTTTCCTGGTAACAAAGAAAAACCATTTGTGGAGGGAAACCGTGCAAAAGATTTGTTTTCATAATAAGCCTCATAGGAATATTTTACCTTAAAACTTACATATGTGCCTAATCGAAATAATTTTAATTAGTTAATATTTCATATTTTTTTAATTAAGAAGTAACCAAAGTTCAGTGAATAACATGGGAAGCTAATCTCAGAATGAAACAGATATAAGCAGTTTCATACCACTTTATAACATGCTGCTAATGTTGCAGTAGGAATATGAGACTTTCAAAAATCTGTGCTATGCGGTCAAATTGAACTCTCGCATTTCTATTTATTTCTTTCATACTCTGCTAATAATACCTTTCTGAAACCAAAGATTCCAAAAGTTTCCTCTTTTGGAGTAAGGCAATAATTATGCTATATAAAATATTTTTAAATGTGTAATTAGGTTAATAATGTAACCTAAAATAAATACTAGCTCTTTTTGTTTTAAATATTTTCAAAAATTAGACTTGTAACTGCTAAATACATACCTGTGATATAAAGAGCCAACAGAAAATTATACTAAGAAATCTGCTTTCTATAAAAGACCAGTATCAAAAAAGTTCTAATTAAATCTGAAGACATAGGAATACAATAATATTGTCTCTTTATTTTGGTGAACTGGTCAAGTGTGAGCTAATTCAGATAGACGGTAACAAGAATGAGGAGCATCAGACATTTGGTTCACCTGTCTTGCATTCCCAATTCTTGTACCTCAAGCCCACTTTTGCATCTCACCTGCTCCACCAATACATAATAAAATCAATTTTATAAATCTTATAAATATAAATAATAAGTATATCCATAAAAGTCAAATGAAATATAAGTATTCGATATAAATAAACCACATAAATCTTACCTGCTTTGGCAATATATAATAATTGACTAAGAGTTCAAAAATCTAAAAACTGAAACTCTAACGTGATCATTTAAAATGATGATTCTCTGAACATAATGTTCAAGCCTCTGGTAACTTCAGCTTCCAGCTCATTAGGTCCAACTAATTTCCATGTTGGAACATTAGTAATGCCTTGGCTGGGCATTGAGAACCAGCCTGCAAACCAAAGGCTCACCAGTTCAATACCCAGTCAGGGCACATGCCTGGGTTGCAGACCTGGTCCCTGGTACGGGGCACCCCAGAGGCAACTGCACAGTGATGTTTCTCTTCCTCTCTTTCTCCTTCCCCGTCTCTCTAAAAATTAATAAATAAATCTTTAAAAAAAAAAAACAACACCAGTACTAATCGAACATGACTAACTGTCTATAAGGCCTACAGTAGTCACATGACTCCAGAGCTACACCTGTAAGTTCTATAAGTTTAAGCCAAATATATATATCATGAGTCCTAAAAATTAATGTATTTGATCATTCTCATTTAATTTTGGAGAAAGGGCAACTGAAAAGTAACATCTTGCCCCCCAGGGCCAAAAGTTCACTTGGTGGTAATTCTGTGACTGAAAAGGTTAATGTCAATAGGCCATTTTAGCCCTCACTGGTGTGGCTCAGTGGATTGAGTGTCAGCCTGAGAACCAAAGGGTCACTGGTTCAATTCCCAGTCAGGGCACATGCCTGGGTTGCAGGCCAGACTCCCAGTAGGGGGCGTGTGAGAGGCAACCACACATTGATGTTTCTCTCCCTTTCTTTCTCCCACTCTTCCCCTCTATAAAAATAAATAAATATTTTTTTTAAAAAAAGGCCATTTTCAATGCAGCAATATTTTGACATTTTATCTCCTAGGGCAAGGGAAATAAAGAAAAAATAAACAAATGGGACTACATTAAATTAAAAAGCTTCTACACAGCTAAAGAAACCATTATCAAAATAAAAACAGGACCAAACTTATGGGAAAACATATTTGCCTACAATACCACAGATGAGAGTTTGATCTCTATATGAAGAGCTCATATGACTCAATGCCAGGAAGACAAACAATCCAATTAAAAAATGGGCTAAGGATCTGAATAGACAGTTCTCCAAGGAGGACATACAGACAGCCCAGAGACATATGAAAGGATGCTCAACATCACTAGCCATCAGAGAAATGCAAATTAAAACCACAATGAGAAATTATCTCACACTAGTGAGAATGGCCATCATTAATAAATCAACAAACAACAAGTGCTGGTGAGGATTTGGAGAAAAGGGAACCCTAGTGCACTGTCAGTGGGAATGCAGACTGGTACAGACACTGTAGAAAACAGTATGAAATTTCCTCAAAAAACTAAAAATGAAACTGCCTTTTGACCCAGCAATTCTACTGTTGGGATTATACCCTAAGAACCCTGAAACACCAATTCAAAAGAACCTATGCACCCTAATGTTCATAGCAGCATTATTTACAATAGCCAAGTGCTGGAAACAACCTAAGTGCCCATCAGTAAATGAATGTATCAAAAAACTCTAGTACATTTACACAATGGAATACATAATGGAATGGAGAGAAAGAAAGAAGGAACTCCTAACCTTTGTGACAGCATGGATGAACTGGAGAGCATTATGCTAAGTGAAATAAGCCAGGCAGTGAGGGACAAATACCATATGATCTTACCTTTAAGTGGAACCTAATCAACAAAACAAACAAGCAAGCAAAATATAACCAGAGACACTGAAATTAAGAACAATCTGACAGTAACCAGAGGGGAGGTAGGAGGGAATAATGGAGGAGAAGGGAGGAAGTATTTTCAGGAGCAACTATAAAGGACATACGGATAAAACCAAGGGGGGCAGGGGGGTGGAAGCAGTGGAAGGAGGTGGGGATGGCTGGGGTAGTGGGGGAGTGGTGGGGAGTAAATGTAGACAACTGTACTTGAACAACAACAAAACAAATAAATAGATAAATAAATTTTTTAAAAAATAAAAAAGAATCCTTCTTTGCCTCTTCCTAGTTTCTGGTGGTTCCAGAATCCTTGGGGTTCCTTGGTTTATAACTACATTATTCTAATCATTCCCTGTATCTTCACATGGTCTTCTTTCCTATGTCAGTGTGTCTCTGCATCTCTGTTAGTCCCATAAGGATACCAATTATTAGATTTAGGGCCCACTCTGATTTAGTATGACCTCATTTTAACTAATTACACATGCAGAGATCCAAATAAGATCACATTCTGAGGTTCCAAGTAGACATGAATTCTTCGGAGAGACACTACTGAACTCACTACCGGCAGGAGCTGGCCAGTACCGTTCTCCCTCTGCATAGAGACAGACCCAAGCAGCTTCTGAGCTCTCACTGATGGGACTGGAAAGGAACAAACGTGAAGGAATTTCATCCACATCACAGCTCATGCTAAAGAGTTGCAGTAGCCTGTATCAGGTTCTTGGGATTCTAAAATGTTAAATATTCACTTTGTAAAAGATGAATGGATTCCAGGATCCTCAGAGAAATCAGAAGCCCCTGCTTGAAGCCAGTCTAATGCTCAACCAATACTAGATGACCACTTATACGATATAGTTAAAGGATTTAAAAAGTGTCCTTCCAAAACACATCAACTGCTTCCCAATACCTAAAATTTTCACCACTATATAAGTAATTTAAATAGGTTACATGATTACATAATAGTTCTATAGAAGAAGAAGATAAAAGAAGATGAGGAGGAGGAGAGGAATCACAAATATACATACACGCAAGTGGAGAAGTAGAACCATATGGGCAAAATTAACTGGTTGGTCTTTAAAAAGAACTGTGAAAGAACAGAAAATAGGACAAATCAGTAATGGATTTTTATGAAAGGGATTGCAGAGACCTGAGTAAGATACCTCACAGGAGGATCCTGGGCCTTTAGGGGACTGTCAGCATAAACTGGGTGTACAGAGGCAGCTAAGACACACAGGAAGTAAAGCAAAGACATGCTTTGTCTATTCCCCGACTTTTCACTGCCTTGTCCCCCACCTTTGAGCAGATATAAGCCCTTAAAAATTCTAAAACATACCTAAGCTCAAGGTAGTTCCAAATAATCCTACCTAATGTGATCATGTCCTCTAAAAAAAAAAAGTTAAACTCACAAAGAAAAAATAGTAATAATTAAATTGGGAATTTTACCTTAATCCAAATATTCTATGACTTAGATAAAAATAAAGATGAGTCAATTTCACTCACCAACAGTTTCTTCTGATGCAGCAGTCAAAGCTAGAAACTTTTTTGTATTTTCCATTTCCTCATTACTTGGCAAAGCTTCACTATTTTTTGCAGACTGATGAAAGAGAAATGAAAGTTTAAATATGAGAAAATAAAGCAACACTGATATTTTGTTAAGTTTCAATGAGGTTTCCAATTGTGCATACACAAACAAGACGACTCGGGTCATTTTTGTCTAATTAGGAACTCCATCAATGTTTCCTGTCCCCTCAAAATTCTGTCAATAAGTATTCGCAAAAAGCGTTGGAGTGTATATCTACCATTATATCATGATTACCTTGCTTAATGTTTCTTAAGATTCTGTTTAATATTTTTATAACTAATGAGTCTATGATCAAATTACAATTTCAGATATTTCAAGATTACTACTGTATTTTATTATGCTTCTAGTTATAATTCTGTTTCCAAGGTAAAAATTTGCTTTGAGATTCAATAGAAATAAGTGATAGGTTAATATTTTTCTGTTAAAATTTGCACAGATTATTTCTTTAGTTTAAAGCACTGCATTTTATATGTTGCTTTCTTTCTGTCCTAGTGGTCTTCCTGGGAAATTTGTAAAACTGTATTCTTAATTGCTATATTATTGCCTGGGAAACGTCCTCCAAAGTCAGTCAATTGATCAAGGAGGAATTTATCAAAACCAGTTATTACATTGTTTCTTACCTTAAAAGTGCTCTCCTTTGAGGGGCAAAGTTCAAGTGTGAGCCAATAGCTATATATCAAGTCAGTGCTAACACCTGGTCAACATCTACCCCTCAGTACTACAGAGAATAAGAGGTCCAAGAAGGCCAAGGACAGTTAATCAAGCACTAGAAATATTAAGACACAAGCAAGTAGAGTATGGTCTCAGACCTCGAGCCTCAAGCACTTGACAGCTTCCCAAAGGGATCTTGACCAGCATATGCAATGATGAACTCCCCCACTTACTCAAATAATAATGAGAACAAGGAGTTTAAATTTTTGTATATTTGTACATTTATCTCCAAAATGTAAACTTGCTGAAGAAAAGCAAGTAACATGCTTAATGAAAGGAGGCATCACACCCCTTTCTATTCCAGAAATGGAGGAGCCCCACCCAACACTGGTAAGAGGCCTACTGGGCTGCTGTCCACAGGGAATGAACACAGCAGTGCCAGTGCAGTGCCTGAGTGCTGGAAAATTACCTACCTCCACAAAATAAATCAGTCAACGCAGACCACATGAATAACTACCACAGTCCGTGCTCTTCCTACTCATCACAGAGGAAATTGCTTCTTACATGTCAGAATATGGTTACACAATTCTTACCTTAAGGTCTTCCCATAGCTTTATTCTCATTTCTAGACCTTGCTTCTTAATTTCTTTTTCTCTATATTGTTTCTTCACCAATATTTTATCAAGCTTCTTCATCTTCTGAATAGCATCTTGAAGTTGAGAATCTAATTCTTTTAATTTGGGTTCATCTATATTGTGTTGAAAGTGGGAATAAGCTTGAAGTTTAGCAAACCTTAAAGCTCTGTTTTGTTTTGTTTTTACTATTTCTTCTTTCAGTCAACAAATGTTTATGGCTGATAGTAATAACTAACACTGGGGTCAAGTATCTCGATTTTCAAGTTGCTTTCACATGTATTTTTTCATATAATTATCTAACAATCCTGCGAAATAGACATGTTTCTCTAGAGTTGAGATAGATGGGCCCTTTTAAATAGCTAATAAATTATAGCACTGAACCCAAAAGTGGGTTTTGTATGATTTTTATCCCCCAAATTCTTTCTCTTTCATTCTGCTATACCTTCTATATCCATGACTAACAAATAAGGAATAAGACAAAGACCCCATCCCAGAGCTGCTTCAGACTAACTGAAAAAGAAGGTACATGCACAATAGCTATGGTAAAATACAGCATGCCATAGTGACACAAAAAGGTTCCAACACATAGAAACAAATTCAGAAAAGTGCTCCATGTAACCAGACACCTTTATCTATGCCCCTTCTACTTGTTCTATTTGCTTGATGCACCTAAAAGTGTTCTTGAGTTGTGGATAACTCATAGTAACTTATTTGAAATTAGGGACTCTACAGAAACTTTTATCATCACAGCAGCTAACATTTATAGAGTTACCTGATAGGCACAGTGTTAAGTGCTTTATTTACATACATTATCTCACTTAATCCTCATCATAATGCTGTGAAGTGCTATAATTAGTATTCCCATTTTACAAATTTGTAGACTGAGGCTAATGTGTAACTGGGTCACATACATATCCAAGATGATATAGCTAGTAAATGGCAGGGTCAGTTTCCACCCAGATCTGTCTGACTCCAGAGCCAAAGCTCTTCACTGCTAGGCAGGTAATACTTCCTCTGTGAAGTCTGACAAAAGATAATAATCTGGCAATGAACATAAATGCTCAAATACTAAAGTCTCTACTACCCCAATTTAGATCATTAGAAATGGCATATTATGCTAAGAAAAGCCAAATTTTGTGCCTTTTGAAAATCCAAAGAATCCAATGATGGTTTTCTATAATGTATATTACTTTCTCTTTAAGGAAAATAAAATATTTTTAGGGGGAATAACTTACCCAAAAAGAATACTGATGGCCCTGGCTGGTGTGGCTCAGTGGATTAAGCTCTGGCCTGCGGACCAAAGGGTCACCAGTTCGATTCCCAGCCAGGGCACATGCCTGGGTTTCCGGCCAGGTCCCCAGTCACCAGGCACTCGAGAGACAACCCCACACTGATGTTTCTCTCCTTCTCTTTCTCCCTCCCTTCCCCTTTCTAAAATTAAATAAATAAAATCTTTTTTAAAAAAGAATACTGATTAATACTGATATTAATAAAGAGGCTTTGCAAATTTTATTGTTTACGTACTTCAAATGCAACAGCCTCTAGTTCTAATTCCCAACTGCAAATCCGAGCGTTCTCAGGCTCCATGCACACAGGTGGTCTATATAGCAGGCATTTTGAAGTAACTCGTGCAGTACTGAAACAAAGGGAAGGATCATAAAGGACCCATGGACAAAGCCAAAGAGGTGAAGGACTGAGGATGGGAGGCGGGGGTGGGAGTGACAAGAGAAAGTGGTGGTAGAATATGGAGACAACTGTACTTGAACAACAATAAAAAAATGCATCAAATGCCAAAAAATATATAAATACAATGAAACTGGGTGATAGCTAATCTCAACTACAATACCTTGTTTCCTGATAACTATAAGCCTAAACTACCTGACCTAACTCTGAGAGCTGATCTCATCCCAAACATATTCCAAATAAGCAGTCTGCACAATTTGTGAATCTCAGCTTCCCTTTACAGCCTTAAAAATTACTCAAAACCCAAAGTAGCTTTTGTTTATGTGAATTATATCTATTAATAATTGCATTAGAAATAAAAATTTAAAATAGTGTATCTATTCATTTTAAATAATAAGCATTATTACTAATTATATATTAACATAAACAGAACATTTTAACAACTATATTTTTTAAAAAATATTGAGAGGAATGGCCTTGTTTTCATTTTTGAGTATTTGGCTTAATAGAAGACAGCTGAATTCTTATGTTTGCTTCTGAAGTCAATCTATTGCAATGTTATTCTAGTTAAAGTGTATGAAGAAAATCTGGCCTCACACAGACATGTAGCAGGAAAGATGAGAAATTTAATAGCCTTTTCATATAGCAGTGATACTCTCCTTTCACACTATATAAATCAACAAGGGTTGGTCTCTAAAAGGTGAGCTATAATGAAAAATCTGTAACCATATCAGTGAGCTTTTTGTATTTGTTCCATTAAATCCATGGATCTATCTTTCATGTTAAAGGGATCTTTTACCCTGCATTGGTCATTTGGAAAAGAGTGGTTCTGTTTTATTTTACTGAATTATGTTGACCTTCAACCTATTAACATATTTCAGTACACAATATCAAAAAAATCACATGTGTTAATATGGCCACCAATATTTATCAGAAAAGTCCATTCAGGACAACAGGGGTTCGATTCCCCAATGGGGAGCCAAAAACAAAACAAGTCGAAGTGCTGGGAAGCTGTCGAGATCACATGGACATACATAAGTTCTCCAAAATTCTAATTTTCACTTGGAAGTTTGTTCAAATTTTATCATTGACAAAAAATACTGTAAATTGTCTTCCTTGAGCTAATAGGCTCATTTTATTTTTAAAAAAATGAATGCCAAATACCCAAGTCTGAATGATAACAGTTTTTCTGTTGGTCATTCTTTAAAGTAAAAATGATGCTCCATTTAAAAAGTGGAGCTCTCAGCTCTCAGCTTAAACTATCACACAAGTACTTTTCCTCAACACAGCCTTCACATTTTGGAATACAGCAGAATTGCTTTATATATATCTCCCATTCTAACACACAGGATATTAGAAAGATATGTTTTGAAAAGTCAAGATTTCATAAAATTACTAATTTTTACTGCTCCAAAGACTTTCTTGAGTGACACCGGATATTTCTTTTTCCTGCCAGTACCTGGTCAAGAGGATTACAATGACTAATAGTATGATTTAATACCCTTGCCTTGATTCATGCTAAGACACCAGCAATTTTCTTACAAGATTTTATTTATTTACTTTTGGAGAGAGAGAGGAAGGGAGGAGAAAAGAGAAGGAGAGAAGCAGCAAGGCAAGAGAGAAATATCAATCATTTGCCTCTCACATGCCCCTAACTGTGGACCTGGCCCGCAACCCAGGCATGTGCCTTGACTGGGAATCAAAACGGTGACCTTTCAGTTTGCAGAATGACACCCAATCCACTGAGCCACACCAGTCAGGGAAAAATATCAGCAATTTTACCAATGTTGCTTTTGTACCATCAGTGCAAATGCCCATTCACTGGGCAGGAAAGCAAATAGATTATTTCAGTATTATGATAAACTATACTACTAGAATATAATGTCAGTATTATTGTGAAAGTAGTTTTTACTTTGCAGAGCCCCTGAAAGGGTCTTATGAGATCCCCAGAGCTCTGCAGCCCACATTTTGAGAACTGCTGCTCTAATTCACTCTGACCAGTATTAATTTAATAACCATGAAAAAAGAAGACTTTTAAAATCCAAAAGTGACTAAGATCAAATGGGATTATCCCTAAAAAAGTATAACTTACACGATACATTTTATTGTGCAATTTTAGTCATCAAAAAGATCAATAATAACTCATGTAATAAAGTGCAGAAATATTTCCTACTTGATTAATGTAAAATGGTCACAATAATTTTATTAAATGACATATTTTTCTAAGTATATTTAAGGACTATTAATATTCTTCTAAATAATAACTGCTTGTTCACAAAGTAATAACTCATTTTTAATTATTTCTACTTAACTGATAAAAAACATATCTAATTCTAATATTTTAACATCTATAATTATCATTAGCCAATCACCTACCTGAACATTTAGAGACTATTTGATGTTGAACCCAGCTCAAATCTTCACCTGACCCCTCTCCAGCCAGTTTTATTTTCTCGGTGTAGTTTTCCCCTTTATCATCATCACAGCTTCTACCTCCCTCTGGATTACTGCTTAATGAGGGGCCCTCTTCATCAGAGTTCAACTTGATTGCAGTATCAACCTAAAAGTTATTTTCAAAGAAACATTTTTCAAAAACAATGTATGGTTTTAAATTTTAAATTTCTAGACTATTTTAAATAATAGAAGTATATAAGGGAACACACATACATTAGCATTAAAGTATTCTAGGAAAATAACACTTTTTAATTAAATGCAATTTAACTACACAGCTAAATTTAATAAGAATTTGCACCAAATAAATATGACCATTCTGTAGCAATTTCTAGCAATAATGGAGAAAAGTCAGGCATCAGTCCTGACGAGAACTGCCGCCAGGCAGGCTCTGGGAATGAGGCACAGTGGTCCCCGCTCCCGGAGCTCACACTCAGGTGATTAGTCAGAAGTCAAGAGCTGTGCTGTCCCATACAATACCATAGCTACTAGCCACATGTGGCTAGCTATTGAACAGCTGAAAAGTGAATAGTCTGAATTGAGATGCGGTTCTAGTGAACTTCAAGCCAGAATCATGTGCTTTGGTGATTAATTTATTTTTATGCCATTCACAGTTTTTCTATTTCATTATGGTTTCTCTTTCCATTTTAGGAAAGTTCCTTTTGAAAACACCACAGCTGTATTTTCCTGAGAGAGAACAAGAAAAGACATTCGTGGCTGAGTCAGGAGAAAACAGGGATCATAGGGCCCTGAGGACTTCGCAGGGCAGTGAGAGTCAAGGTGGAAATGAACACAGCCCAAGGGAGAGTTACACCTCAAGGAGAGAGAAGCAGCCACCTCTGAGAAAAGGACCTTTTCCCTCCCAATGGACAGACTGACTGCTCCAGCCCTTGTCCTCAGTCCTCTACATCCTGTGATCGCTCTCTCTCCTGTTGTAACTGTGCCCCCTTGGGAATCTCCACGGCAGAAGGTTGGTGGTGCTGAGAATAAACTGCCAGGGATACAGGACTGCAGGAGCATCTCTGTTCACCTGAACTACTGCATAAATCCCAGCAGAAATGAGCTGAGTCAGTGATGTGACAATTATAACCACCATTTATTGATGAATTACTATTAGCCATGTCCTGTGCTAAGTACCTTAGCACACACTGCCTCCTTCATTCCACCCAATGACCCTATGGTAAAGGCACTGCTACCCAACTTGACACAGAAGAAAACAGATCCAGTACAGTGGAGGCCCAATTTATAAACAAACAAAACAACGCCTACTTTATGTAATCTCAGAGGTGTTAAATAGGATTCCTTGTTCAAAAAAACACATCTATCAAAAGCCAGGTAAAATCTGAAATTCTATAATATCCAGTAAACCCTTAAGGCTATAGAGTTCTGTGAAAATGCTGAAATTGCTGGGAGAGGTCACGTGAGCCTTGTCAGTCATTTATATCATAGCATAAATGAATTTAGCCGACCTTACTCTGAAAATGAGTTTTTTTATAGGGGAATATAAAGTAGACAAAAGATAACTAGATATTAGCAATATACTCATATAGCACACTTTAGGATACACAAAGACCTTTCGTATGCATCACCCCACACAATCCTAACTCTTAGAACAAGCAATAAGGCAAAAAGATGAACTGGAGGACAAAAAGCAAACGGCCCATTTCACAATTTTACCCATAGTGCCCCACCCAGCTTCCCCAGCCCATTCATTGCCCACTAGCCTCTCTGTTCCTTACCCTCCTGCCCTTCTGCCCTGTGGCCTGTGTGTATGATTTTCCTTTCTTCATCATTCTCAAAGCCACTTCCCACCTCCATTTTTCATTGCTCCATGTCCCCGACTCCATACCTGGCAGGTTAGTCCCAGGAAACATAAATACCCTATAAAAACCTTTCTAACAATTAGATTACCTACCTGAGAGATGTGAAATTTTTAAACAAATTACAACTATAGGTTCTTTGGGGGAAAATATTCATAAGTAACAATAAACCAAAATTCTTAGAATGAGAAATCTATTATTACTAAAGAAACTTCATTAAAAATCTAGCATTTTAAACTCATTTTCTGCCACATAGAAAATTTTGGTAAGATATTAATAAAAACCAGATTTGAACAACAGAACTAATCAAAATCCCAGGATTCATTATTCTGACCATACGTATACAAGGTTTCTTAGTCACTGGCTCATGTGCAATCAGCAGTCAGCATGCAGTGTATCCGTGGCTTTCTCCCCCAGCCTAACACAAACCTTATCTTCCATGAACCTGTTAACACAAATCACAATTTTTAGGCTTCCCTTTTACATAATTATCAAAGTCCTTGTTAACTAACAAAATATGATAGAGTTTTAACAGTAGCTTAGTAGGTTAAAATGAAATCTTACTTGATCACTGATACTTTTCTTGTAAACAAGTCTTGAACAAAGCAGTATTAATCTATGTACTAAAACCTATGTGTCAATATTGTAAAGTTGCTGCTTTACAAAAAATCATCACCCAGGAGTATATAAGCAGAAATACTAGTTCCATGCCACTCTAAATTTCGTCAGGTCTTTGTGTATTATCCTACCTACATAAAGTGGGAAAATATTCATTCTAAATTTATTAAACACATATTCTGTGAATACTTACTATGCACCAGACTTTATGCTGAATGCTATGAATAACACAGAAAGGACTGAGTTGAAGAACTGAAACCAATAACTAAGAAGTACTGAATACTAAGTGCTAGTCACTATTCTAAGAACTTTAAACATTTTATGTCATTTTATCTTTAAAACATGCCTATGAGGTTTGAACAGATGAGAAAACTGACAGAGAGAGTTAAAGTAATTTTCCAAAAATCACATAAAATATGGGCAGCAGAAGCCAATTTAAACCCTTGACTCTAGAGTTCAGGTTTATAACCACTATGCTTGGAACTAAAGAACCTAAAATTGTTTTCAGATTCCAATTTTGGGTCTCTGGAAAACTGAATGAACTAAAACCCTCCATCTACTTAGAAATACACAGATGAGCTCACAAGAACACTAGGGAAGCTGCCAGTAGACAGAAATTAAAAGAAAACAGAAAACTAGTAACAGGAGCCTTATAAATCCTTAAAGCAGCTGCCCTGGTTCCTGGCTGGGGGTGGGGGTAGAAGTAAAAGAGACAAATGAGAATGTGCTGGCCTTAGAAAACTACGGGTTTAGGTTTTAACATCCAACGGTAGGAGAATAGGCCTTGGGTCCATGCAAGACAAGAAGACAATTGCCCTGACCAGTGTGCTCAGCAGGTTAGAGCGTCATCCTGCAAACCAAAAGGTCCCGGAGGACACATGCCTGGGTTTTGGTCCCAATTGGGGCCATTCAAGAGGTAACCAATTGATGTATCTCTCTGACATTGATGTTCCTCCCCCTCTCTTTCTCCATCCCTTCCCCTCTCTCTAAAAATCAGTATCTTTAGCCCTGGCTGATGTGGATCAGTGAATTGAGTGCCAGTCTGCAAACCAAAGGGTCACCGGTTAGATTCCCAGTCAGGACACATATCTGGGTTACAGGCCAGGTCCTCAGTAGCAGGCGCATGAGAGACAACCACACATTGATGTTTCTCTCCCTCTCTTGCCCTCTCCCATCCCTTCTCTAAAAATAAATAAATGAAATCTTTTTAAAAAACAAGAAAAAAAATCAACATCTAAAAAAAGAGGGGGTGGCAAGGAGATGGAAAGGAACCTTCCCTCTTCCGCTCCATAAAGCTAGATGCCTCAAAGAGGTGTATCCTCTGTGAAAAACATATCTAGCCAAAAGCACAGGGAAAGAATGAAGATACAAGTATGAAAAAGCCTTCCCTGAGATTTGCAACTATAGGGTCATGCTTCATGTGGGTTTGGGTTCCGATTTATATTATTCACATGTTCTGGGATGCTTAAAGCTGAAAAACTGGCAAAAAAAAAAGAGAGAGAGAGAGAGGAATTCATGCTAGTGAGACATCTCTCAGGCATCCCAAAGAAGCAAACACAAGCCTGCTCTGGAAGACACAGTTTCAAATCAGGTTCCATGAAATTCCCAGCTACAATCCAAAAGTTTAAAAGCCATGAACATATTACCAACACTAACAAAGAATCACAATAAACAAAAAAAAACAAGATATTAAAATGCTGATAAAAATAATCATATAAACATTTTATTTGGTATTTTTTAAATTAAAAAAGAGATCAAGATATGGTAAAGAACAGATAGATTAAAAATAAACTAAAAAGAACTTCCAGAAATTAAAACTATATCATTAAATTTAAAAAAATCAGTGGACAGATAAAAGAGATTTGATATACAATAAGAAGTAATTCAAAAATTACAAAATACATGTTAAAAATGCCCCTGAATAAAGCACAGGAAAACAAATAAATAAAAAATACTTAAAAAAATATAACAGACATGAAGGATAGAGGGAAAGATTCTACAGACATTTAATATGACTTCCAGGATGACAAAATAGAAAAAAAAAAAGACATTTTTGAAATATTTGAAACATGAAAACACAATAGCTAAAAATTTTTCAAAATAAATGAAACATACAAATTCTTAGATTGAAGAAGTACTAGTCTCCAGAAGGAAAAATTAAATAAATTCATACATAGGTAAGTAATAGTAGATACAAAGACAAAGAGAAAACAAAGCAATCAGACAAAAACATCTAAACTAGACAACCCACACTCAAATAAATATTGAGCTTACCAAAAGCCTTCTCATTGGTAACAAAAGAGACTACAAAAAACCTAAATGTAAAACATAAAATAGAAAACTTTCAAAAAAAATGAGAAAATCTTTGGGATCTTGAGTTAGACAAAGAGTTCTTACATACAACAAAAAAACTACAATCTTCAAAAGAAAAAAATTAATTAAGTTGTACTTGAGAAAACATAAAATGCTCTTCCAAAGTCACAATTAAAAAAATTAAAAGTGAAGCTATAGACTGGGAGAAAATATTTGTAAATCATTATCTAGAATATATTAAATACCCTCAAAAGCCAACAACAGAAAAACAAAATTTAAAAACATAAATATATAAAAACTGAACATATACTTTCCAAAGAAGATATGTGGACCACAAATAAGCACATGAAAACATATC